GGTCCGTCCCGGCTGACTGCTCCTCCCAGCAGATGTCTGGGTAATTAAAATTGCCCATGACAACTACGTCCCTTGCTTTTAGTGCCTCTGCAAGCTAAAATCATCTTCTAATCATCTTCCCCTATCATTCCATATTTACTTGCTGGGTAATGAGATCCTTTTAGCTCAGATAGGTTCCTGAAGTCACTGCTTCATGCTTAGTACATGATCTTTCAGGGACTGTGAACACTTGAATTTTTAATTTGGGAAAATATATAAAATTAAATTTGCAGCAGTTTGAGGTGTGGAGTTGTGTCTTCTCCCTCTTCCTACATGGATCAAAAGTTCTGGAGGACAGCTTTTTTTTTTTTTTTTTTACTACTTTTTGCATGGTACCACACATCATCTGTGTGTCAGTCATGTTTGCTTGGCACGCATGAAATAATATAATGAAGTACTCTAGGCAGCTATGGCAATTACTGCCCTCAGGTGATTAATGTCAATCAATTTTTGGTCTTATGCCAAAACATAATTTGAGTTATGCTAAGAGTCCCAAAATGCACAGTTTATCACATCGTAGTGGTTCATTCAAAATATTATTCTAATTTTTATTTTCCTATATTAAAAAAGCCTAATGTAAAACAAAGCAGCCTATTTTCTCACCACTCTATTGCAAACTGATCTGTTTATTCCCTTGCTTTTCAACTAATTTGCTGTTGCTAGTCAATATCACTAAAAAGTTGGGTGCACTTCTGCTGTTTTAGAGCATGCAGCATAAAAAGAAAAGTGGGCCCCAAAATATTAGATAAATAATGCTGAAAGGCACAACATAAAACATAATGGAATTTTATGGCTGCTGTCTTGCCTATTTACTCTCTTATTACAAATTACACACAAGCACACAAATGAGGTTTAAGCCCATAAAATTAATATTATAAGCAATAGGAACCTAAAAACTGTTTAAACCAATTCTCGTTCATCCTCTAGGCACTAACTGAAAATGCTAGCACAATACTTAAGTTTGTATTTGACAAGGTAATATTTAGCAAAGGATTTGTTTACTGGCTAGTCTGCTGCCAAATAGCTCCAATCTTAAACTGATTAGCAATTGCTTTGTATATTCAATATTTGAATGTGTGTGCATACATTTACACACCAGGAAACTTCCTTTGGTGAAAAGCTTTTTTGCCAAGATTCATCTCAGTAAGGTTAGACAGAGACTGGAAAGTAAAAAAAAAAATCCAACCATTTGAAGCACTTATAAATGGGTGTCTTTAGCTCATTGATTGTGTTTCATAAGCTGCTGTTGCCCTCTAGTGTTCAAGTGTAGCTTCAAAATTCACCAATAGAAGTAGAATAATCCATCAAGTTTCCTAATAGCAATTTTCTATTTAGAACATGATAAAGAGAATGAAAGAGGAGATACTTTCTGCAGTAGGTGCATATAAAATATCTTCAGTCCAGCAACTAAGAGTTTTTAAAATAATTTGTTCCTCTCAGAGCAGAAGTTAAATTTCAACCCCTTTACACATAGCTGATCTGGTCACTGGATGTGTACAACTTACTGCCATACTTCTATTGTTAGCATGCCAGCAGTCTGTTTGCTGTCTGGCTTAGGTTTTAGTGTTCTGACTTCATACTTACCTAAATTAACTAAACACTGCCCTGGAGGATGCAGGATACTAAAGCAATTAACACAATCCTTCCCCCAAGAGTCTCATTACTACAGTAACTCACATGAAGTTTTTAGGACTATTATTAATTTAAATATATATTAAGCAGCTCAACTGGCACAGATTATACTGAAGACTTTGCACAAATGTGAACTTTTGCAACAGACACAATCAACTTCAAGTTCAGTCAGTTAAGAAACAAGAAGTCATTTAGTTTCCAATATATTCCTGTTTATTTGTAATTCTACAAACCCATTACCTGAAAAAGTTATTCCCATGTTCCTTGCTAAAACCCATATAAACAGAGGAAACAAATAAATTGACTGTAGAGAAAGGAACAGCCAAATGCACAGTCTATTCCCAATTTATTAGTTATTTCCTGCCATTCTCTTTCATTTCTAGCAATTCAAGGTCTTAAGTAATATTATTATAATCAAAACACTTTAAGGCATAAAACTGGGGAGGAGTTGGTCATTAATGCAATAAAGTTCACTTTGAGAAGCATTTCAACAACTTTGTTTTGCCTACGGTACACAATGGAATTGCCTTTACCTTTGAACAATAAAATTTCTTGCATACAGCTGTTATTAGAATTAAGAATGGGGCCTTTAAGATATTTATCCTGAGACTATTTTTGTACCCTTCTGGCTAGGAACATAAATAACATTTAAACAAATTATCCATTTAACCTCTTCTGATTGTATCAGTTAAACTGTTAACTGATAACAGCTGCTGCTGGGAGCCACTCCCAGAGCCCCTGAGGAGGAGGAGGAGGTGCACAGCTCAGGTGAAGCCCTTTGCTGGGAAGGAGGGAACACCTGCAAGCACCCAATTGCTTATTTGTCATTAGGCTGCCTACTGTTTTCTCCTTTAACCTCATAGGCTATGGGTACTATAACCTCACACCCTACCCCCTCCCTGCCCTGCCACCTTCTTGTTCCTGCTAGGGCATCACATGGCTTCCCTTCCCCCCTTCCCAGCAGGACTGTGTCAAGGCCCACGCAAAACAATAACCTGTAAAATAACTCCTTACCACTGGGCTTATCAGTTAAGTGATCAATTATTTAATGTTTCACATCTCTACTTGTGGCTTAATCTATATTCCCTCCTTCCCCCCACCAAAAAAAATAACCAACACAAATACCCAACCACAAAACATCTTGTGGATAAGTCACATCCTATTTAAAAGAAAAAAAAATATTTCTCCTTGAGTGCTTGTCTCTCTGCTGAGATGTTTGTTATTATGTGTCTGTCAAGTCACTACTTAAGAATCTGGGTGTTCAGTCAGCAACAGAGTTTCTAGACTTAATGATTGTTCAGTGGTTCATAATGAATTGTAATGTTTTCCAATCTTCCTCTTGGGCCATAACAAAAATCAAGACACATGTTCATTCATCTATTGATTGCAGGATGCACCTCTGAGCTCAGTGAATGTTATGTAGTCACAGTTTTCCTTTAAACTTTCTTATTTACCTGGAAGTCTTAAGCAACCTCCCATTCTCTACTCTGGTGGTGGCAACCCCATTGTCTTGCAATCAGAACCCTGTGCATGCTCTTTTCCTGTGTTGAGTCATAGCAATTTAGGAATGAGATGGATTTGGGGAAAAAATTCCTTTTCATGAATATGCCAAGTCAATAGGTAGCACTTTTGTTAGGAAGACACTTTGCTACGGGTTTAGTAGGACAAAGGCCGTCTCTGTGACACGTACAAAAGTCACTAGAGAGCAGAGACTAACATCCCCAGAGGAAAGGCAGAAACAAGATTGTAGCTTACAAACTTGGCACATGGCTTACAACAATTGTGGCAATAGCCGGCTGTACGCATGTTGAGGAATTGAAGACACGTATCATTACATGGTTTAACTTTCTTTTCCTTGACTTTATGGCAGGTATTATATATATGGTAAACTTTACTCTTTCACTGTGGTGTTTTGAACAGGAATTAATTTGAACTTAGAGATCCTTTTTAAGGCAAGAGGTAGCATAGTAAACAGTATTCAATTACAGTAGTATTTGCACCCAGATAGCTTTGTAGCAAACTATATTCAATACACTGTGCTGCCTCTGTGGTCAGAATAAGCTTTTTTTGTTTACTACCTAACCTGGTTGCATGGAACATTATATTAATCTCCTGAAATGTCCTCTCTCTGAAATGCGAGGTCTTCTCTGCCTAACTTAGATTTTATTAATTGATAAAATAAAATAAAACAAAAATAAACATTTCACTATAGTACAATTAAAAGGTTTTTTTTCCGAGAGACGAAAAAACCCCGCAAAACCTCAAAACAGGAATTCCATGCCCCTCTTACAGCAAAAAGAGAACATCTTCTCCAGAACCACAACACTAGGTGTCAAAAACTCATTATCTTCAGCTGCTACAGAAGGCTACGCTTTCTACTGATTTATTTCACTCTTCTAAGCAATCACACATCAGCATACATTCCATTGATCAAGTAGTCTAACCTGGTATAGTGCCTTCTCCAAAAAGATTCAGACATTCTTCTGCCTATTAGTGTAACAGCTAATAACAAGAACATCAACCCAAAAAATAAAGCTGTGATGAGGCTACTCTTTTCACCAAAATGAGAGACAGCACTGCTTTGAGAAACATCATCTGACAAATAGCCTTCTAAAGCAAGTTCCCCCTTAGTTTGGTGTGTGTTTTGCAAAGAATCTGTGGATTTCTTACTGGGTAAAGTAACACCTGAAAAAGAAAAGAGACTGAAGACGTTAATGGCAGCAACAGAGGCAGTCTTTGGCTCCATTTTGGTAGTAGATGTCCCTAGCTGTGCAGACACTATCGTAGTTTGAGGATTTTTGATCATGTGGTCAATTTTACCAAAAGCAGTAGCTGTAGCACTGGTAAAGGTGGTACTAGGTTGGGAACAGGTAGTGGCAGTGGTACTAGTGGTGGTAGGTTCAGTAGGGGCAGTAGTACTGGTAGTGGTGGTAGTGCTGGGTGCAGCATGGGTAGTGGTACTGGGCATGCTAAGTTCAGCATGGGCAGTAGTAGCATTGGTAGAAGACAACACGTCAGTCATTTTTTCACTTAGAAAAGAATCTGAGTTCTTAGGAACTTTCTTCCCCTGGCCTTGAGGAAACTGTGAGTGCAATTCAGTATTATCTAAATGTTCTACTTCATGGTCCATGGATTCAGACATCCGGGAAGTGATATATTGCTGCAGAGAGACAGTTGAATTCAGGAGTATTGCCTGAATTTGAGGAGCATTTTGTGTCTTCATAAGCTTTTCTCCATTTGGGTCATCACGTGCAAAGTGCAAGTTCTTATTTGTGAAAGGATTTTTTTTCAGAATCTGTGAATCTAAAAACAGAAAGAAAAATAGATATTAATTTTTCAATCCACTTTTGCAATCAGTTGCTTCCTTCCCAGTAAAGTATCCAATAAAGTATCCTGTAAAAACAGACCTGCCCTAAAAACACAGGAAGGAATCTTCCCACAGCATCAAGATTTTGCATCTGCCTGAGACAGCGATGGGGAAAATACAGCCTGCAGGGGCTACCCATGCAACCCTTGATAGCTTGCCAAAACTCGGTAAGCAGCCCTCCCTCCAAAATAATTGCCTGCCCCTGGCCTAGGATCACTTTTTCAGAATGTTCAGCAAGTACGTTCACTTACAATTGTCACATCACAAATCAATATGCCCTTAAGAAACCTAAAGGCATTGGGCCCCATTCTTAATGCCTTCCTATCTTGAGTAAGCATTCAATTATGTGCATTCATCGCTCTTTGTTACAGGAGTGTTTTGCCTATTTCATGTGAATGTTTAAATTACTATTCATAGGTTAAAAGACAGTGCAAGGCCAATCACCTTTAAGTCATTCTTAGCCGTTGCCAATTAAGGAGCAGAAATTACCAAGTCATAGTTGCGTTTACTCGTGCATTGAAGGTAATGATCACAGCATCTGAGCACCACAAAATTTTTTTTTTAATGTAATTTTCCTTCATGTAGAAGAGTACTACAGACAGGGACTGGGAACACAAAGGGGCTATCTGCCCAAAGTCTTAGAGAAAGCCTGTGGTGAGGCAGGGTTTAAACCAAGTCACCAAAATTCCAGATTAGTTCTTCAACGTGGGGGTTGGCAACCTTAACTTGTGGGATCCAGCCCTCAGAGCTATTTTACTTGGCCTGCAGAGCCAAATGGCTTCTGTGGCATTTCAGCAGCAGGGGGCCACATGGCTTCACCGACATGGCAGCTGAGCAATGGGGAGAAGCAATGATGGCAGCACTGCAGGGGAGGGGGCATGGGGAGTGGTGACTGTGGTGGCAGCAGCATATGTCAGGTTGGAGGCAGCTTGTGCTTGGAACAAAGTTCTGTTAAAGCAGACCCTCCTGCTCCTATGATTAGGGCAGGGATTGGCAATGTTTTAGAAAACCCTTTCACTTGCACTGCTTGAACTCTACCCCACTCAGATTCTTTGTGTACTTGGTATACTGTCTTAGCTTTTACCATGCATGTGAACTTGACTTAGAGGCACCTTTGAGGCTTCCGTTTACACACAGGGTGGAGAATTTAGTCCTTGTTCTCTACGAAAGGAAGCAGGAATTCTGCTTTTTTAAAAAACAAACTAAATCCCATTTCCCCCCCATGCTATCCAATTTACATCTCTCATGGAATTACCTGCCTAAATCAGTCTAGGCTTGCTATTTCAATAGCTTGTTTATATGGAACAAATTCAAAAGCATTGGTATGTTCGATTGGTGCTACAAGAAATCAAGGACTTCAATATCCTGCAAGACCATGTTGTACTAATGCATGGAATTAGTGGCAACACTGGTGAAAGACTTTTAGTCTTCCGTGACATGGTAAAACACAAAACCTAGGTGCAGTCTGCTGTGATGGTGCTCGTCAGTGAGTCTATCAGATACAGTGTCATGGATCCTCAGACCAACCATGTACCAATGAGCAGACTAGGAGGATGTTCCTATCTCCCAGCCAGCAGGAGAGCATCACAGAAACACAAATCAATGTAAAGCCTCCTAATAACTTGTAACCAAGAGACAAAATATTTTCTTCAGCAGATAGGAAGAACTGAAAGAACAGATAACAAGTGTGACATACAGGGATTACTAGTCTGGCAACCAGTATTGTTTATATTAGTTTACTACATCCCTCTCCAGTATGTCTAACCAAAACCTACTTAACAAATGGTTATGTAAGTCTGCGGCTCTCTCAAGTGACAAAAGGTACCAGTGGGAAACATTATAAGGGGAAGTGGAACAGGTTCTTAGAAGCAAGCAGTGAGGTTCACCATTAAAAAAATACATTTGCCCTTCAAGTTCAACTGAATAAGGATTTAAAGCAGCAGAATGCATAGCCACAATATTGGAATTACTGACTAAAATTTGGTAGCAAGAGACAGACAGACATGCTGCATGACAAAAAGTGACATTCACTTCCCTGCCAACTATTTCATTATGTTAAGATATTATATAGACCCGACAGGGAAAAAACCCTAACAATCAGCTGAGTAATAGTTCTTGGACAGATTAAATGACTGGTAGAGTTTGTGTATTCTCATCAGCCAACAGGGATCTGGATTTATAGAGGGTGTGGTGCCTCGCCCTTACCTCACTTCTAGGTTAAACAGGATAAGAATATACTTGAGCTCCCAAGCAAATACCACCCATACACATATAAAAGCCCATAAACCAAAATCTATACACATGCCCAAGACTCTTATAACCTAGAATTAATGGTGAAATATTCTAGCACATCAACCAAAAAACCTCTCAACAAAAATTGTTTTCTGAAAGAGAGCTACAGCAGCAATGAAAATGCCACAGAGTGCATTTGACAAAAGCCATTAAAATGTGGAAATGTGTGGAGAATGTCACCCAGATAACCTTAATTAACCTCAACACAGATAAAGAGACAAACAAATTGATCCCCAGAGTTACTAGTGATCATAAGTGACCCCAAATTTAACAAAAAATAAGATTAAAAAAACTATGCATGAAGTTCACATTTCTCCCTCCACCCCCTTCACCCCTCCCCCACGATGATTTTGATTCACAGCATCTCTGCACTTGTCAGCAAAACTAACAAACTCAGAACTAGGCAGTCGCCTGACTCATTCACCAACCACCTAGCTCAGGATACAAACTCAAGCTGGTGTACCACTCCCTTATCATCAAACGGAGGTCTTTTCCTGTCTGTTCTCTTGAAGACGGATACCAACTGAGCACATGGAGAATTTAGAACCAGTTTAGATTCCTTTTGTCTACCTTAAAAATTGATACACATACAGACACATTTAAAGTTTTATTTTAAAGGCTCTGCTATTCATAAATCAACAGCTACTTCTATAGCCCCATGGTCTATGTGGGTCATAAGGAAATAAATATTTGAAATAAAGTAGATGTTTCTGTTCCTTGTAACTGCTATTTTCCAAGCTGGAAAGGGCATGTTGAGCAGCAAAGAGCAAAAACAATTGTGTCCTAAAACAAACTGAAAAGGCCTCATTTAAACAAGAATCAGAATGAGAGAGGTCTTTGTCCTTGCAGATAGATATGAATCTACCTGATTCTTCCATACCAACTTGTTACAACAGGCATTTTCTTCCAGACTGTGCAACACAACGCACTCCCAGAGCAAATTATTACATATCTGTAAATTATATTTGGTTTACAGAAAGTGATTTCTATGCATACTATTCATAATTTCTCATAATTATTAATACCAGTGATGTATTTTACTAGCATGATTATTACTACATAAAAATCTTGTCAACTGAGATTAATATTTTAAGGATAACAAGTGACATACCAAGTAATTAAGAAGCAACATCCCATTTCTCTGATTTTCAGTGTGTTGCCTAACAAACAAGGAATTGACCATTAGACAGCAAACGTGGTCATCTAAGCCACCACTCCTTTCTCACTGCTGGACAAAAGGCTGAGGAGCAAAATGCCTCTGGCTAAGACCAGGCTTTTAGACAAGCCAACAGACTAGTGTAAGATGTTGCATTTGAGTAAATCTGGCTGTGCAGTTTACAGGCTATCAGGGCACTGCCAATTCACTACTTTCAAACAACAGCCAGAAAAACTGAGGAGCATTTATGCAGGACTTATGTTGTGAAGGGAGCAGAAGACAGCAGGGAAGAACACAGAAGGGTTTCTTATCATCCTACATGAATATTTCCACCTTCTTCAATGAAGGCAACATGGAAGAAGCATGTCAGCAGATAGGACTTGGGAAACCTATTTCTGCAGCCAGTTCTGCCAGTAGCCAATTGGTTAACCTTGGGCAAGTCGTTAAACCTCTCTTCATCTCACTGTTCCTCTTTTTGAGAATGAGGATAGTGATAAAACATTTTGAAGGAGGTCTGCAAGTTCTGCTGGCACAAGACACTACATAAACAGCTAAATATCCATACACTTTGCACTGTTAAAAATGCCTAAGAGGAAGCACATGGTTTATGCATGCCTAATAGGAAGCCGAGTCTAGGTTATCAGGTCTCTACATTTTTAGGAGATAAAAATGTTTTGATAATTTCTTTTGTAGATACAAAGATTTTCAGAGCAAGGACTTGGTCTTACATGATTGTGAAATGCCAAGTATGCTTGTGGCATTACAGTAGATAATGCTGGTCCTGAGGAAAAGTGGTATGTGCTTTATTGTTCTCTTTCTTTAAAATTAAAACAAAAACAGTATTTAAGAGTAGACCTGCAAAATCCTCTCAAATGGCGTGATAAACTCTCCCCCCATCACCAGTTTCTGTTGTTCAAAGAAATGACTCATGGGATTCTACAAGTATTTTTAGTAGGAATCCAGCAGTATTGTGGCTGGCTGAACTTGTGCAGTTTTGTACAAGAAGGCTGCATCCCCATAAGTGGGAATGTGTGCTTTGTGGCAACTCAAAGGCTTTTGAGGCACTGCAAGATGCACAGAGAGCACATGAATTGGTTCACCACGCTGCATATTTGCAGCTCAGTGACAAAATTAGATACTGGGAAATCCAACTATTTAAAAAAAAAAAAAATCACACAGTAAAAAAACGCTGCTGTGTGTGCTGTGCAAAACTGGAGCCTGGCCAGCCAGAACCATACTCCGGCTGTCAGCCAGGCTCTGCGTGCCCAGATCGCCATCACTACAGCCTCAGGAGGCTGCCAGGAACCTAGGTAAGGCTACTAGGGCCAGCCCAGGTGCTGGCCCCAGCCTCCCCTACTTGGGGCAATTGGTTGCATACCACAGTGCACGTACAGGGACATTCTACATATCTGTGCCACTACTAGTTGTACCTGGGAAATGCACATGCGTGCTTGTGAGGACATGCCTGAAGTGTTTGAAAAGCAACCACTTTTTTGAGCTAGATCTAGGAGACATTTTGTTTCCAGAGGCACTGGAAACAAAAGGTTCTGTGGTTCAGTATGATTTGTCTAGCTTTGCAACAAGTTGGCCCCAATATTTTAATCTTTTTAACTAATGAAGAGTCTTTTTAGCTCTCCTATAGAGATTCCTATTTGAAAAAGGCAACTGACTTGAACAGTTTGTCAGAGACCAGGTGGCTTGGCCTTTTGACAAACTTTTCAGAGACAGTTATCAGCAGTGACAGGAAAACATAAGGAAAACAAGCTAACATGCAAATTTCTACCATTTAGTACACAGAGAAGTCAGTAACTGCACAATCTAAAATGGATGCCACATGCAAACAAAAGTAACTCAGTAGTTGCATCTTTGGCAGGACCAAAGCTTGAGCAAAGAAACACACTGCTTTTTCTCTTTGTAGCTTCCACATACTCCTGGGTGGGGGGAGGCAAAAGAGTTGAGAAATCAGTACTTTGACAATTGTTGACTTTTACAGTGGCAAATGAAGCCTTAGATCCCCACCCTTCCCACATGGTATCTTATTCCTATCCCATTCCCTATATTACACTGTTGTTGATAGAGTCAAGGTGGGCAATTTTCCTAGACAACAACAAAATTCCCTCTCTGAAGACATTCACTCCAAGATACTGAAAAAGGTACTCTCTGCAAGATTAACCACGTTGAATATATAAACTTCTACAAGAAGGCAGTCTCACTTCCAATTTGTTTTTTGAAGGGTCAGTTCTGGTACAAATTTATTTTGGCCAGTTTGCTATATCTGAATAGCCAGTCTTAGTACAACCAATATTTAAGCACCAGGGTGCACAGCATATTATAGACAATAAGAGATTCCCATTGTTTCTAGTGTGTAGTGTGGCCTCAAGGAAGTCACTTTATACCTTTTCTTCAGTTTTCCAACCTGAAAAATAAGAAAACTCCTACTGCTTACTTACTGTCATTATGAGTTTTAACTAATATTTATCCAGTGCTTTCTTCATGTATGGCACTCATCACTATGGTATGAGCCCTTTGAACATACAAGAGCTACAAGAGGATTCAACTTCTACTGCACTGAGCAGTATTCTATATACACAAAGGAAATTTCCTACAAATAGGGAGAACATCAAGCTGCAAGGAGCATTCTTCTTAGTTTATTATTTAGGAATACATCCCTGGCCTAAAGAGCTTATAGTCTAAATAAAAAGTGTATACATGGAAGATGGAATGCAGAATATAATTAAAAAAATGCATTTGTATTTATTAGTTCTCCGATTGTCATGTTGCAAGTTTTTTTTTAAATCTCTCTCATTTGCTTAAAAGAAAAAGTTTTAAATCTACTAAAGAAGGGTAACTGCACTGCACCATAGGAGTTATATCCAGTTGGTCCATGAAAAAGTCTGGCTGCTTTATAGCCCCATTCTTCACATCCTATGAGTAGTATTCCCAAATTAAAATTTTTGGTTTTCATATGAATTTTTTCAGTTATTGATTTTTCACAACCTAGTTCCTTGATCAGTTATCACACACACCTGTATGTACAAAATATGTAAAGTACAGATCGGTGATGAGCTGCTTTTACAGTTATTTACCTCTAATTATCCTGTAGCTCACAAATCCTTCAGCTGGTTTCACTGGACAAGCTTCCCTACTAGGACAGTAGAAGAGGTAGCAGTTTGGATACCTGCCTATTCTTCTAGCATCAAAAATCATCAAGTTACATTTCTTGTCTCCTGTAAAACAGCATAAATTTAGTTAGCAAAAAAGAAGACTTTTTAAAATATGTCCATTTTTATGACAATAAAAGCTACTTCACTTATCTAAAATCTTTCAGGTGAGTGTGAAAGGAAAAGGAACTGATGTATCATCCATTCAGGAGAAACTTCTTTACTGTTAGGATAGTGATGTAATGGAACACACTGCCCAGGGAAGTTGAAAACCTCCTGTGAAAGAGATTCCACAAGAGGAGGCTGGATAAGCGTTTGATAGGCATAGTTTAGGAATACCATTTCTGCATTCACGTCGCAGACTGGACCAGACAACCCTTTAGGTTCCTCACAATCCTACAATTCTATGAAAAAAAAATTACAGGCACCTACTCTGTCCTGTCCAAGTGAGTTAGGAAAAATAATGCAATGAGCCCAATCCATTACCTATTCCTAATGCAACTGCTGAAATTCAAACCAAAATGCTATTTGCAGATTAGACTTTAGGGCAGCATTTTTCATATTAGGCTTTGCCTCTCACATCTGATAAATTTCAAAGGCTTGTAACTTTTGATCAACTAGAGAAAGAAAAACTTCTCCATCTCCACCTTTCCCCTCATTACCTAAAGAACCTTTTGGTTTACTCCTGTTTTCTGATTCATCTTGAAAACTACCACTGCCATCTGCTGCTGCTGTTTCATTTGGGCTGCTTACAGACATTAAAAAAAAAACCCAACAAAAAACAGAGCTTTACTTTACACTGCTTGTGCGCCAAGCCCAACACATGCCCAGAAGAGGCATTGCATTTGTTGGACCCAGCTTGCCCAACATTTTTTTAGTTCATGTGCCTTAGTGGGGCTTTTTTGGCACTTTTATCTACTAGCTAATTGAATCAGCTTTAGATAAAAGCACCAAAAAGCCCTGCTGAAGCACTCGATCTATACAGATGATATGGAGTCAGGTTGAACTAGTGTGCTGCTTTTTCTGGTAAAGTGCGAGTTTATTTTTGCCGGTTTTTTTAAGTGTCTGTAAGCAACCTTGTTTCTAAACTATTGATGGAAAGCAACATCCATAAATGAAGGTAGGCATTCTAATTTTTGGTCACTCTAAACAGAGCATAAGTCTGCCACTTGATTTTTATTTAGCCTACTGAACAAACAAGTTTATGACTTCTCTATCTGGGAGGTGAAGCATCAGTGTTTAAAACCACTGAATGTGCTTAAAGTATGCACAATAAGTATGTACATCCATAAACACAGACTTAAGTACATTAAGTTCTAATTTAACGGATGAATAAGTTAAGGAAAACGTACGCAACAATCACAAGTTGCAACAGTCTTGGTATGAAAAGCAGGGTAAATTTACACTTTCCCTCCTTGAGAGCTGACTCTAGCTCATCCTATCCCTGCCTGTCATCTTAAGCACTGATAGACAAGAAGAACAATCAAGGGAGAACAGCTCACCTGATATGTTTTTTCCTATGCAGCAAGCATTAATACAAGCTGCTGGTGTTAAAGTATATACTGGCTCTATCCCCTTGATGCCTTTTTTGAGAGATGCCGTCACATCAACTATGACATTTTCCATCTTCTCCAACGAGCAATTTTGACACAGGGATGGCTCAGGTATCATAGCACACAGCATTATTAATGTGCAGAGATGACACAAATTTAAACTGAAAAACATTTTCACTTGAGTTGGATTTATTCTTCTTTTGCCAGAAACAGTAAACTTCTTGTTGTTTAACTTCAAAATAATCTCATTTTATGAAGACTGCGTAACTGTCACCATCTCTAGAAGAATAGTAAAGATATTTAGTACTGCATACTGTTTTAAAGGAATTAGGCTTCCATTAATCAAAATTAAGTTTTAAACACAGTTCAAGATCTTGTCAGGACAAGGAGCAAATGTTAGGGCTTTTTTTTAATGTTTAATTTGAAAAGGTAATAGAACAAATATTACATATTAGATGCAAAGTGATTTACTTCTCAACAACCGTCATGCAAGATGCTTTAGAATTGTCCTATTTAAAAAAAAAGTTACATTTCTCAAATTAAGGAGTCGTGGATAGAGCATATGAAAATATAGCTGTGTTTATGAGGCACTTACATGGCTGTCTCCATGATAGACTCTGAATGTCTTATAAAAGGTATCATTTTGAAATCAAGAGTTCTAGTTTTTTGTATGCTTTATAATCCAGAATGCATTTACCTTTACAACACCTCTGCCTCATAAAGCAGGGAAATAGTATCCCCTTTTTTTCCTAAGGCGAAGTTAAGGCACAAAGACACTAAGGCCAGGTACAGACGTATTACACTTTTACTGGTAATTGGAAACCAGTCTATACCCATAACAGAACAGAAGTTCAGTGCACACAGACTGGTTTTAAAATGATGGAGCCTGATCTGAGATTTGCCTTCCCCCTGGCTAAATGTGAATGTGTGTTTGTTCACTCTGATAAACTACTTAAACTGATTTATAGGAAACAGGATAACTTTTATTGATTCCTCCTTGAGCTTTTTGAATGTCTGTACCTAGCCTAAAGTACTAATTCAATGTCACACAGGGATCACAGCTGGGATCCAATATTGGAATGTCCTTCCTTACTCTTGCTTAAAGATGCCCAGAACCCCAGAAAAATGTCAAAGGGAATCTGCACTGGAAATAAGTGATTGAGGGATTACTAGTGGGACCCAGAGCTGCTCTTGACCTCACTCTTTAGCCTAGCTCTGGTAGGTCAGCGATTCTCAGTCTTTTCAGAGGCACCTCTCTCAAGGCACCCCATCCATAACTTCTCTGAATTTAGCAGCAGCCCATTTTTTAATTCTAAAAAGCCAATTGAGTGATTTTTCTGTTGCAAAAAAAGACAAAAAGACCACAACAGGTCAGAATGTGTTTGACACTCGGGATTCCTAGCTGAATAAAAAGCATCCTGGGTTTACCTAGCACATCCTGTATAGGTGCTTGTGCACCTAACCATGCTAATATTACATAGTTTCCCTAAAAGGATCCATGGCACCTCAGCAAAGAATCACTCTGGTAGGTCAACAGGAAGTAAAATCTACTATGCAACCCGCTTTGTGAAGCGAGTTAGTCTTTTCCCCACATCATAGAACAGGTGGGCAGCCACAAAAACCCCAAAGATACCATCAAAACTTACCAGAGGGAACAAAAAAAAAAAAACCTCACTAAGAGGGTGGTGAAGCATTGGAACAGGTTACCAAGAGGTGGTGGAATTTCTATCCTTGGAGATTGTTAGGGCCTGGCTTGACAAAGCTTTGGCTGGGACGATCTAAGTGGGGATGGTCCTGCTTTGAGCAGGGGGCTGGACTAGATGCGACCTCCTGAGGTCCCTTCCAACCCTCATTTTCTATGATTCTAAGGCTAAGCTCTAACGAGTCCGCCAGCCAGGCAGACATGTGCAGTAACCTTATCTCTGCTGCCTCCTCCTAGGGGGCTCAAGAGCCACAGATGTCAAGGCATTTAATCTGTGCCTGTCTCAAGCACCACCTTAAAAGGTAGCAATGATTTGGCAAGCCTGCCTGGAACAGGGAATCCACTGAGGCCACTAGGACCACCTCTCTGTTCTCCTCCCCAGGCACCAGAAGAGGCGCAAGACGTGGGCTTCATGGTTCCAGCGTGAGGCTTCTAGCCACGTTCAGTCCGAGGAGACAGCGGGAGCATCTACACGTTCATTAATGCACAGCAGTTACTGGTATCCAGGTTGTAGCTCTGTTGATCTAGATGCAAAAGGAATCAAAACTCGTGGAAGAAGTGATATCTTTTATTAGACCGACCAGAAAAAAATATTTTATTTATTTTAAAGCTTTCAGGCATGCTCATCCTTCATCACTTCCCCTATGCCTGATGAAGGGTGTGTGCACCCAAAATAGAGTGGCCATCATAGAGGACAGTCTGGTTGTCCTCTATTGATATGAAACTGGAAGCCTACTGTATGTCCTCTATTCTTGTTTTGAAGAGAAAAGCAGAGCACATAAAGGCGTTGGGTTTTGTATCAATAGAGGACAGAATAGCAGAAAACTGGAATGTCCTCTATCACAGCCACCTTAGCCTGAAAGCTTGTGAATAAATAAAAGAATTCGTTTGCAAATATCTAGTTGGTCTCATAAAAGGTATCGCCTCTTCCAGTACCTACTGCACATTTAGTTCAGTACTTGCTTAACAAAGTACTAACTGTGCAGTAGCTAGTTACTGTGCAGTAGTGCGGGCGCGTGCTTTTTTTAGTGACACTTACTGCACAGTACCCTAGTATGTACTACTGTGCTGGGCAGTACAATATTAGTCCAATTTTTGCCCACTAATGTGCAGTGTTATTAGGCTACTGGGCATTAAGCATCTTGTGTAGATGCACCCGAGGGGAAAAAAACTCCAGAAGGAGCAGAGGGAAGAGGAGGGCGCCTCACATGCAGGTCCCCTCAGGAGGCCAGGGCTGGCGGGGAGCAAGCCTCCTCGGGGAGGGGAAGGGAGAGGAGGGGAGAGCCGAGGAGCCCTCGGCCTCAGGCAGGGAACGGGCAAGGGGAACAGCCGCCCGGGGGGGGGCGAGATCCGGGAGCCGGGCTGCAACCCTCCCCCTGCGGCCGCCCCCCGCTGCCTAGCGCGCGCCGACCCACCTCGCAGCCCCCAGGTCCAGGCGCGGGGAGCCTCCGCCACTGCAATGCGAGGGGCTCCGGCCCCGCCACCGCCACCGGGCTTGAGTGCGCTCCCGCAGCTGATCCCAGAGGAAAGGGAGTGCGTTAGGACTAGTCCCGCCCTCCCCAGCTCAAGAAGCATGAGTCAGCCCCAGCCAAAGCCAGGCGAGGATTTTTTTAAAAACGCATTTCAGACTCACCTGACGCCTTTCATTTCCTTCCCAACCCGAGCTGAGGTTGTTCCGGGAAAGCCCCGCGCCTGGCCGAGTCCCGAGCCGGGTGCGCGGCCCCGCGGACTCCCCGGGAAACCCCTGCGCCGAGGACTGGCTGCAGGGCAGGGCCCTCGCCGCCTCGCGAGGTGGGTCCGCAGCTGTTTGCCTCAGGGACAGACAGCCGACGCCCCGGTGCAGCCTTCTCCTCGGCAGCTGAGAAGGGCTCAGTGAAATGCAGCCACATCCACTTGTTGCGGAGTTAATCCCTGGGGAGTCCGCAGTCTCGGCTCTCTGCACACATCCCCACCTCCTGCTGCAGCCTGCAGTGGTTTTCAACCTTTTCTAAACGCAAAGCATCCCTGGAGAGACTCAAGGCCTTGCGTCTAAAAGGTCCTGCAAGGTCATGGAAAGTGCCTTGAGTCTAAAAAAAGCTGAGATTCACTTATCACCAAGCAACTTTTGAGATAAAAAGACTTTTCCAACTTTTCTCTGATCCTGATCTGCACAAAATGTACTGTTCCAAACAGGAGGCTTTACCAAACCTTCCATTCTCCTGCATAATGCAAGTTTTCATTTCTACCTAGGAGAACTTTTACAAAGTTTGCAATCTCCTATGCCTGATGAAGGGTGCCTGTGCCAAAAAGCTTGCAAATAAAGACTTTTTTTTTTTTTTTTTTTTTTTTTTTTTTTTTTGCAAATACCAAGTTGGTCTAATATCACATATTACCTCTGCCACCAGGTTTGATTCCTTGAGTCTAAAAAGAATGGCTGCCCTCAGCTAGATGGGTGAAGGGGCATCCTTTCCACCCTCCAGTGGAAGCTGTAAGTGTGCACATGCCTGGGGCTGAGAGGAAAGCATTAGAGGGAGCATGGCTCTAGAAACCTACTCAAAAGAGAGGTAGCCCACTCTCTTTGGAGGGGAAGACCTAGCTGGATTCCAGTTTGTGCCTGCTAATTGTTCATTATCGATTCTTTAATACTAAATGCAAAAGCATTCCCTAGAAAAGAGACTACTCTGAGAAGTGCTGCATTAATACAGCTATACTACTTCCAGTACTCAAGCTACCTGGTTTAGAGATAACTGAGCTATCCCTGCACAATATTACATGGTGCCATATAGACATACTCTGAAAACAAGTCATTTTTTCTGTGCTCCAATTTCCACATCTGCAATATTATACTACTTACTTCACCAATGTCTGAAGTACAGTTTAAGAGTCTTGGATGGAGACATTGCAGCATTGGTGACTACAATATAAACTACCCCATGCTGGGCTGGTAAACTCTATAGATGAAACACTTAAATCCACTTGATATAAAGCAATAGTAAAGAAAAGGAAAGAGCTACTTCCTTTTAACACTGAACAAGGAACTTTGTTAGAATAAGGGAAACAGTAAAAAGTTGCCAAAACATGAGATTTACTTTTGATGCTCAATGTTTGATGTTTCCCTTAAAGTTACAGTTCCTGGAGTTGCATGAAAATGGAAACTCTACAGCTTTAACAAAATGAGTACCTAGTCTTTGTGGTTGTGAAAAAAATATTTAGATATGTGGCCTGAGTGTGCCTTAAAGGACCCTAAATGCCAAAAGCAAACAAAAAATAACTTTGATTTAATAATCTACTGAAAAATCATACTTACGAAGCCAATTTAATAATTGTTGAATGCTTCTGTTTGGCTGACATGCACTAGTAGCTCTGTAAAGCTAAGTTTCTGCCTAGTAGTTTCTATAACCCACCCTACATAATTTCCTGCTACATTTATAAGGCAGCAACCCACATATTCACATTCAGTTCCATTGATTATTTCCAAGCTTCTCATGGAGAAAAAGGTAGAATAAAAACTATGTAAAATAATCAATTGACTCCCTTGATATTGTCTAGGTCTCAGTAATGAAGTGTCACAAATGTATATTCTAATACTGACATGCAAAATTTGTATGTACTTCCAAAAACTACCTTAGCTCATAGCTGACGCAGGCTTAGGAGCAATGTTGTTGTCTCCCATCTAGGTGAAAAATACAAAACTAAAATAATTTGCACACCTAATATATTGGTTTAAATTAAAAATGGCTTAACCATATTTGAAGTGTTACAAAGAACCAAATGTTGATTGTTTTTTTTCCTTTTTCAGGCACAAAGGCCTCATATTATTCATACATACGCTGGTAAATAGCAGATAAAAACCTTGACTATTCAAAAAATATTTAAAAAGGAGAACAGAATAGCCTTTTGGGAGGAAAGAAGAAAGTAAGTCACAATATAAATGGATGATGTATATTTAAAATAAATTATCTATTTATTCATAGAAAATGTGTTTGCACAATCAAAATCTGTACTCTTACCAGAAATTAATGTTGGGTCTAATCTACAAGAAAATAAATATTTTGCCCAGATAAAAGTTGTGTTGTCACCTTGAAAAAACACTCTACTCTTTGAAATAAAACGTGTGAAGTTCAGTCAAGCTAATTGTATAATTTGTCGGAGGTCAACTAATGATGTTACAGAACATGACTCCACTTCTGTCAAAACATATACCCCTGCTTAACTTTATACACTGTTTGTTTGAAGTTTATTATGGTTAATGGAATTATTGAGACATGAAATATTAAACATATGTAAATCTCTACAGGATCAAAATAGTAATGGGACAGATTGAATGGTGCCAAAAAACATTTGATTGCTTTTCCAGGAAAATAATTCTATAGCTGTGAAATTGTTTGTTTTTTTTGTATTCATATTTATTAATTTAATCATAACACAATACAGATTATTATATTGCAAATACATTATGATAAAGTTCATAACCACAATAAGGTGACCCATGTCTTTTAGCAGCCTTTATGCCTCATGGAATCAGAACTTGTGGTAGAGATGATATCTTTTTTTAGACCAACTAGATATTTAAAAATATATACTTATTTGCAAGCTTTTGGGCACTCTCACCCTTCCTCAGGCATAGGAGAATGCAAAGATTGTACAATTTCTTCTAGGTGAAAATGAAAAATCATATTTCTCAGGACAGCTGAAGGTGTAAGATTTGACTGGAATAGTTCATGGCATAAATAGCTATCTAAAAATTAATATTTCTCAGAAAAGCTGAAGGGTGTTGTAAGATCTCCTGGTTAGAATAGTTCATGGCATAAATAGCCATATGATGAGGTCTAAAAAAAAAAGAAGAGCATTGCCAATCTTACCATCAAAATAAATTCTAATGGGGTTGGTAGAATCAACGGAGCAACTTCAGCTCAGAAATAATGATATGCTGGTGCACCAAGTTATATTCAGAACTGTACAGAGTCTGGAGTTCTCACCCAACAGAATGGATTTGTCTAGAAGCCAGTGCTGGCACTGTTATTCTGGATTAATCGTTTTGTCTTTATTTAAGGTTTAAGAATTGAATTTTTATTAAAGGAATTTGCCTCTCTCTCTCTCTCTCTATGTATATATATAAAGGGTCCAGAGGAGGGCCACCCGCATGATCCGGGGACTACAGGGCAGACCCTACATTGAAAGACTGCGGGACCTAAACCTGTTCAGCCTTCACAAGAGAAGGCTGAGGGGGGACCTGGTGACTGTCTATAAACTCACTAGGGGGGACCAGAAGGGTTTAGGGGAGACACTGTTTCCCCTAGCGCCCCCTGGCATGACAAGGAACAATGGACACAAATTATTAGAGAGTAGATTTAGATTAGACATCCGCAAGAACTACTTCACAGTTAGGGCGGCTAGGAGCTGGAACCAACTTCCTAGGGAAGTGGTGCTGGCTCCCACCCTGGGGATCTTTAAGAAGAGGCTTGATGACTACCTGGCTGGACTCATTTGAGTCCAGTCTTTTCTCCTGCCCAGGTGGGGGGTCGGACTTGAAGATCTACAAGGTCCCTTCCGACCCTACTTCTATGATTCTATGATATATATATGTATATGTGTATATATGTATATGTATATACATATATATATGTTTTGTTGCTGTTTTTTGCTTTTTCTGGATACAAGAACAATAAAGTAAAACTTCAGAGTGGAAGTTTTACTTCCTTTCTCCTTAACTAAGTCACTTATGAATTTTCTGTCTTGGCTGCCTAACCCTGCTACAGTGATAAAGGAATGTTGTTTCCTACTTGTCATTACCTGCTTATATATTTATCAGACAGATGGTACTTATTTTTAAAGAGGTGGCTGCTCTTTTTCATTGATTGAACAAACACTATTAATAAAAGAAATTAGAACAATGAAGCTGTGCTGCTTTTATTTGTTAAACTGTCCAGAAGAGATTTAGTCCCTAATGCAGTAATGACATATTTCCTGCTGTCCCTCCTCAAAAATGTTTGTGCAATTTGGGGGGGAAAAAAAAAATCAATGAGTATACCCAACTGAAAAATGGTATGTGGATTAACACCAAGTCCGCAAACACAAAAGCAGTGTAACTGCATTAATGCGAGTTCCATGGGATGAATTTGCTTGTGAGATTAGGTGAATCAAGAACTTGTCCATCCCTTCTGACATGATCAAACACCCCAGCAAATGGATCCCCCTCTCCATAAAAATCAAAAACAAAGACAGACAAGGTTCTTTGGGTAAACTACATCGTTGGAAAAATTGTTCTTGGCAAGCTTTCAGGCACAAATACACCAGACTCCCCCTCTGCCTGAAGAAGGGTATTTGTGCCTGAAAGCTTGCCAAGAACAATTTTTCCAACTATGTAGTTGGTCTAATAAAAGATATCACATTTACCCAAAGAACCTTGTCTGCCTCTGTCCTTAGACAAATACCGCTACAACCAACACCTCCAAAAAGCAAACAAAGAAACTTTCTGAACCACAGCCCCCTGCATGAGAGAAAAGCCAGCTATTTCTTAATACCATTCACTCTTGCTAATCTTATTTTGCATGGAAGGAAGTTGCTCGGATACTCTCTGCACATGGGTGTCTGGATAAAACCCCCCCGAAAGCTCATTTAGATCTGATCCCCAGCTCTAATTGCAGGATCCCTGCTAGGTTAAATATTCAAGTCTAACTTTAGCTTCTTCCTCTCATTTTGATCAATGCTTTAAAAAGCCTTCTTCATTTTCTTTTTCCCTTCGCTCTCTCCATCTCTGCATTCATGCATTTGGCAGGCAACCCCTCGGCTAACACACTTCCCTACTCCCAGGGACTGGGCTCAGCTGATGCACAGCAGCTGCCTCTTTAAGCCAGGGCTCCCTCTGCCTCCTCCCATCCCCTGCATGGGCGAGGCTTCCTTTGACCCTGGAACAGAAACAATCCCGGACCCGGAAGCTGCTTCTACACATGCTCACATGGGGAGCTGCTGCTAGCCGGATTGCTGGTTGCTTGGAGGCTGCTGGGAGCCCTTGTTCCCTTGCTCCTGAGGCAGGAGGGAAAGGAGCCCTGTGGCTTGCAAGTGGTGGGGGAGAGGTTGCATTGGCAGTGCAAGGCTCTCGCTGTTTCCCCCCCAGGGCTGGGGTGTGTGCTTAGCAGTGTAGAGGTCTTGGGGGAATCCTTTTTCCTCCATCACAGCTGTAGCTATGGGAGCAGAGCAGAGTGCAGAAGCTGAGAGCCGGCCACATGATCTGAGCTCTTCAGGTCAGTCTCCTTTTCACTCCCTGGCTACAGGTATGGCCTGCTGGGGGGGGCAGTGGCAGTGGCAGCAGTAAAAGCTGATGGGGGAACTGGGGGTGCTGTGCTGGTTAATTACAGTGGGGATTTTTGTGCTTCTGTCAATATGCAGTACATGACTAATGCAGCGTTTATTAACCCCACATTTCATGGCTTACAGGAAGCATGTTTGCATCAGGGACCCAACAGCCAGCAGGGAGGAAGTGATATGGGTAGTATGCAGCCCTTGTAGCAAAAGGAAGCCACTTTTATGGCTGGGGCCTGAGATCTAGGTGTAATCTTTCTTTCCTTGGAGAGATGGACTTGCATAGGTTGTTATTTCTTCTTCTTACAGAAATTTCTGCTGTAGGTGGGTGCTCGTAAAGGGGTGTTCTTGTATAGAGGGGATCTGTTGGATGTTTGATCCTAAGCAGTGGTATGGTAGAATACAGCAGTAGCTGTCAGGACTAAGTGAAAGGAACAAGAGCAGGGATAATATTTGGAGACTTGCAGGTACATATCATTAGCTATGCTGCATACTAATTCTGGGGTCATATGGATGGAGCCAGCCAAGAGTCATGGAGATAAGTGACAATAGAGACTTCAGTAGTGCTTATTTTTGTCCCCTGTTTGACACCATGATGAAAGACAACAAAAATTTAAAATTTGGACTTTTTTTTTACAACTTTACTTTCAATTAACCTTAGAAACTGGGTTTGGCTGGAAAGATCTCAAAGAATGGTAAAAGCCCTAGTCATTATAGGGTAGTGTCAAATTAAGAATCATATGTTGTCAACAGATTTCTAATAACCCATTGTAGTAGTCTGAAGTGGAAGGACTTAAAAATTGAGTGAATTTGTCCACATATATCTGCTGTGTGTCAGCTTCTAAGTCGTTTCTATGTCCATTAGACAGTGAAGATAAGTCAATTTTACTCTTTTTATTCAGAGTGAAAAGTCACCTCAGTTCTTGGGCTGCAGTATTTTCAGTTTCAAACTGTCCAAGGATTCCTTCACTTGATTTTTACTGTGGAAAAGAGTTGATTTTAATCTGTTCTTTTGTTACCATTTTGGACCAAATTTAAGTTTAAAAGGGACCCTTTATATGTACCAGAAGTACAGCAGTTCTGACAGTTAGCATGAGTTTTTGAAAGACTTCAGAAATCTATTTTCGTTCTGCTGTCAGGCAGTGAACGTCATGTATTAGTGTTAGAGTGAGCATGAGACATCTTAAGCACTGACTCCAGTAAGTGGGACAAGGATGAAAGAGTAGTGAAGCCCACTGTGGATTTTACTTAAGGAAATAGCTCAGTGCCACAGTGATGGTGACTATAGAAACTTGACATTAATATGTCACTTACATCTGTCATTTCCTCTTGGCATCAAATGAAGCAGATCAGACATAAAAGAATTTGCTGGGTCACCTTTGTATACAGCTATGTGTCTGATTTTGCATTTGTTCTTTTTCCCCACAGCATCGCCCTCTCCAGCTAAGCACCGTGCTAAGATGGATGATATTGTTGTGGTGGCCCAGGGAACTCAGTCCTCAAGAAATGTCAGCAATGATCCCGATGTCATAAAATTGCAGGAGATACCAACTTTCCAGCCGCTTTTGAAAGGTAATATACTTTTCAATTTTTCTGATATTTTTCCCTCAGGGCCTGTCTCTGTCCTCCTATTAAACATGTAAAGTTCCTAGTAACCTGTACTTCCCTCCTAATCATCCTTTAATCCATACATTGCTTTTGCTGTCCTCATAAGCTGGAATGAAGCATTGACAATCCTGTACTTTTCCCATTTCTTTTTTTTCTAGTAAACCAGAAAAACAAGAAGTGAAAAGTCGAGGAACGTCCCTATGGGTCCTGTATATATTGTGGTCTCCCTTTGTATTGGTTCCCTTTTATTTCTCCCAGAGCAGTGGTTCTCAACCTTGTTTTTTTTGTTTGGTACCAGGACCCCTTTGTAAAGATTGATGGCTTGGCCTGTCCTGATTCACAGCCTCTGGCCCTTTTGGTTCCATCACTCCCAACCCACAGCCACTGGATCATGCTGGTGCCCCTGACTCCCAACCGGCAGCCCCCTCCCCTGCACCCTGCTGGAGGAGGGCCCTTAGCTGCCCCCATCCCACTGGGGCCACAGTGTGGTAGCTGTGGTGGCAATGGCTCAAGTGGTGGCAGTGGAGTAAGTCTGGCCTCGGCATGGGCTGGAAGGGGGAGGGGAGGCATGTGGAATTCTCCCCCTGCCCTGGGCTGGGGCTGCTTTGCTACACCAGGCAGCTTGGTCACCATTCCTTCTGGCCCCTGAGCAGCATCTCCCAGCCACCCTGCCCCTGTGAGTATGGGCAGCAGCCCTAGTGCTGCTGGCCCAACCATGCATCTTCCTGCTACCCCTGAAGGACTTTTTCCCCTGCTGGAGGAGCAGCCCACCCCCTCCCCCCCCCCATCTTATCCTGTCTGCCCTACTGCAGCCTTGGCGCACAGCCACTTTTTCCCCTAGTGCTGGCAGGCAGCACACACCTCCTCCACCCCCCCAACACCCATCCCCTCCACACACCCCAGACCCACACATCCAGCTGCTGGGGTTGCTCCCGTGACACAGACACACATGTGCCTGCTGCCTCCAGTGTCCCAAGCAGCTTCTTGCAGGGGGAAGTGGATGCTTTCCCACACTTCTGGGACTTGCTCACGATTCTTGCCACCCACTTTTGGGTAGCTACCCACAGGTTGAAGAATACTGTCCCAGATCATCATCTTTCAGTCTTCTTCTCCATCCTTTGTCTCAGCCGCTCAGGTGTTTCTCTTGGATCTTGGTTGAAAATTATGCTGTGGGTGCTACCTGTCTGCCTGCTGCTTATTTGGAGACATGGCAATTGTGTCATCTTTGTATGTAGGCAACCTTATAGAGATCACATATGCTGTTTGGGGCAGGTGCACTGTACCAAGCACTCTTCCTGTCTATATTGAAATGATAAGAAAGCCAGGGTCCTGAGCCATAACTAGGACTGCAAGGGCTAGGATCATCTTCCTCTCTAGGAGAGTCATGGATCTCTGTGTTGGAGAAAAGCATGCTCCTTTGAGGAGAGAATTCCTATCAGGAGGATGCAGAGCTGCGTGACGTTTTGGAAGATATGTCCCAAAGGATGGGCGTATAACTAGGAATCCTAGGTACTGAGAGTTTTACAGTGTGCCCCCAGGGGGTTTCTGAACTGGGCCAACCCCACAAAGTCTGTGTAGGTATGCTTTGATGAATAGAGCAATAACTCTATGGAAGGATCCTTTTTCATCAGAAAGTGGTGAGGTGAGCATGGAGTCATTGGGGAGAGGAGTGGAGGCTCCTTCCCCAGGGTCAAAGGTAGGTAGTAAAAGGAAGAAGGGAGGATGCTTCATTTCCATTTGGTGTTTCTATGATGTTCCCCCCCATCTTTCTGATGCAGTTTGGAGGAGGTATGGACAGGCAGAGGATGGGGGACTGCTGTATTCCAGACATACTTGCTCATGACTTGCTTCTGAATCTCTCTGCTGCTCCAGAATGGACTGTTTTGTCAATGCCAGAGACCCATCTGCCATTAAGAGGCTGAGGCTGTCTATTCCCTCTTGCAGTGGAAGGATTTTGAAGGATCTAAGATGTGGTGGTGAAGACAGAAGCACTAGATCAGAGCTGTCTAGTTGGTGACCTGTAGGACCCTGCAGCTGTCTCTCCCACAGTTGTGCAGAGGGGGGTCCCTGGGGCCTGCTCCTGCAGCATATGGCTGGCATGGTGTGTGGTGTAGGGGCTACTACATGCTGATGCTGTATGCAGTCCTCAGTTGCAGAGAAGTTGGACAGCCTTGCACTAAATTATCAGACAATCCCCCTTGGTAACTTAACAAGCATTGTAAACTTGGGAGGGAGTCTAGTTAACCAAACATGGCTTTACTATGTAGTCCAGACTGGCATCTGGTGGCTATTGTGCAGTATTACTGCATACTCTAGACCAGCGGTCTCCAAACTTTTTTGATCGTGCACCGCTATCAATAAAATATTTTTGAGCACACACCTCCAATATATGTATTAACTGGGCACACGTAAACTGCAATAGAAGTTCTAATATTTTCTTCCTGCACCTCGATGGATCATCTTGCGCACCCCCTGGGGTGCGTGCACGCCACTTTGGAGACCACTGCTTTAGACCAAACAGCACTGACTAAATTGGGGGTGACCAACCTGTGCTATAACCTATGCTACAAGTGTCACAGGCAGCCTTTGTGTGTGGCTCGCAGCAGATAGGACAAAGAAGGGAGAGGTGGCACAGCAGCAGATAGGGGAGGAAACAGAAGGGAGAGAAGGAGTTGAGGCAGGGGGCACTGAATTGAAAGTAGCAAGCAGAGCAGGAGATGGGGGAGGGGGCACATAGTAGCGAACAGGAAGAAGAGCTGCAGATCGGGCTGGGGAAGGGGAGTGAAATGGCACTTAGAGAAGGCAGGGCTAATTTGTGGTGTGACTGCCAAAAATGTTGGCTCTTGGTGGGGTAAATAATTGTACCTTGTCTTTGCAGGCCCAAATGCTGAGTGACTTGTGCAGTTAAATTGTTTGCAATTCCTGCATTAGTTACTGAAAGCAGTGTTGTTTCTTTGATAGAGTCCTGTGCCGGGACTGAAGGATACCTGGGTTCTATTCCTAGTTCTGACACTGGTCTGCAGAGTGACCTTGTGCAAGTTTTCTGGGATTAGCCTGTTTTCATTCGAATCCAAAAATAATAGTGCTATTCTAGATAAATAGGACCACACACAATCATTTGTTTCAGCCCTCTTCTCAAGGCAGGATCATTCCTGTGTAAACCACTGCAGACAATTGTTTGTCTAACCTGCTTTTAAACTTGCAGTGGGGGAGATTCCAAAACCTCTCTAAGGACTCTTCCAATGCAAAACCCATGTAATGAAAGAGCTCTTCTTGATATACAACCTGAATTTCCTTTGTTGCAATTTAAAACCATTATTATTTGTCCTTCTCTGTGTCTGCCAGGGAATAGGCTATCACCACTCTCTATGTCATAACATTTTGTGTATTTGAAGACTTATCAAACAGTTGCCTGGCCTTGCCTCTTGAGTCAGGAACTTGTTTCTTGTTTATACGTAGCCTAGCACAGCGGGTGTCAGGGTTACTAGGTTAAGCCTGGACTGAAATACTAGGTCACCTTGAAGTAGAGTTCTCCCTTTGAACTTATGAACTATTGCCAGATAAGCAAGTCCCTTTCACTGGGCTGTGGAGACTTCAAATGTGACCCCTGGTTAGCTGATGTGATCAGTAGGTCTGGAATTTGTTGCAGCATCTGTATGCTTTCACAGGTGGTCAGTACTGAAGCCTGTACCTAGTGCCCCAAGACCTTTTCCAGATCTCTAGTTAGTATCTTGGTCTCAGTCTGTCTCTTGCCTGTGGCTGCCAATCCTCTGCTTGTTTTCTGGTTCCAGACCTTCGTCTTTACTGTTGAGGCTGGGCTGTACCCAGCCTGGTATGGTTCAGCCAGCCCTCTTCAGCGACCACCCTCTAGTGTATGCTTGGGTCATACACTACCAATGTTTCCCTTGTTTTGAACAAGGTGGGACATGAGTGAGGTGTGCATCAGGCAGTATTGTTGCTACTATACCTGGGGACATGCTGGACAGCAAGAAGCGGTTAGAGAGCAGCTCAAGAGGGAAGTGTTAGAGCTAGAGAGGTGTCTGGCTGCTGACTCAGACAACCCATCACTCTGTGGAAAATCAGGAGAGGCAGAAAGGGCTCTGAGCCATGTAGTGCTAGAGCAGGGTGGGGCAGGAAGGGAGTGAAATGGCTGGGGGTGGGCGGGCCTGGGCTGTTCAGTCCTGCTGAGGCTTCTCCTGGGTTGCTACTGCCCCTGGCACTTCTAGGCTTTGACAGGCTGCTGGGGCAGTTAAATATTAATTTTCTAAAAGTTTTATGGTCCTCCGTGGGCCATATACAATGGCCTGGTGTGCCGAATCCAGCCTGCAGGTCATATTTTGCCCTCCCCTGTCCTAGACTATGCCAGACAGGGGTAGAAAGATCCCTCTACACTGGCCCAGGCCCATGGAGCTGCCTATGCTAAATGCTTCCTGCCACTTACTCCAGGAGGTAAAGGCTGTCCTGTCACTCACTGGCCTTGCCTATATTGACCAGGTCCTGCATGAAAGCAGTCCCCGCCCACCAGTGACCAAGTCTGTATTCCACCCTGATTCCACATGCCACTGAGGGCCTCAGCTGGGAGCTCCTTCATGGAGCTGTTTCCACAGGTGTGTATCTGGCATGCTTTACAGGCACCCAACACCTGTCCCTTTAGCCAACAGAGAGAGAACCTAGTGTGCACCTTCCTTGAGTGCCCTGGGTTGCAGTCCCTCCTCCAGAACTTCCTGCTGAGGTTCTTGCTGCACTTTTCCCTGCACCTTTTTTAATGCACTTCCCTTCATAGCCCCACTAGCCCCAGAATCTCTGGGTGAACCTCCTCCTGTCTTGGCCAAGATGGCCATTTACCAGACCAGGAAGGAGGCTCTCGCTGGCAGGAACCTGGGTCAGTGTGGGGCTGTTTTCCTGTTACTCCTCTACTCATTCTGGGCAGAGTTTCACTGGTTGGCATCCTCAGGCTCTCTCAA